TGCTGGTGCCCCTTGCTCCTGACCTGCAGCCCCTCTCCTCCTGCCAGAGGGGGTCCCCAGCTGCTCCCTTCCCACCTGGGCCAGAGCATGGTGGCTGTGGTAGCTCCAGTTTGCGCAGGTGGTAGCGGAGCGAGTCCTCCTCCAGCCTGTGCTGGAGCTGGTGAGGCCTGTGGCACCACATATCCTGGGCTGGGGTTCCCACACCACACCAGGTGGCCTGGCCATGGCCCCCCGCCCCCGGCAGTGTCTTCCAGCCACCTTGCCCCTGTGAAGTTGGGTATTAGCCCTAGTGCTGCCAGCCTGGCCATGCAGCTCCCTGTTGCCCAGAAAGGGCTCCCCTCCCCGCCCCTTTAGTCCCCAAGCCAAGACCCCCTATTCCCCATAGACTTACCTGCATCCAGCTGCAGGGCTGCTCCCACACCAGCTTCTTTGGCTGTATGCTGGCCACATGGGTGTGCGCGCACAGATACCTGTGGCACCCCCTGCCTCCAATCACCCCAAGCATCAACTTGCAGCCTGGAAAGCTGCCAGCCTGCAAGGAGAAACCTGTGCTTCCCTGCGTTTTGCTATGATTGTTTGCAACCCTTTCAAATATTCTTGTGATCCACTTCTGGGTTGCAACACACGGGTTGAGAAACATGGTTATAAACTAACCAAAATAGATAGATTCTATATATATCTTGAATTGTGTATGTATAGAGATCTATATCTATATAAAAGGAGCTTTCCTGAGCTGAAGCTCACTTCATCAGATGCTATGAAAGCCTTTCAGTCTGAAGTCTGTGTACCTGAGCTCTGTTACCAGTGTCAAGCCTAATGCTTCACCCTTTGGTTTGTTTGTTTTCCCAGATGGAACGCATTGCCCACGGTGCCTATGGGTAGATGATTCAGTGGGTACCATCAACTTTGATTTGTTAAAACATTAGTTGATAAGCAACTTGGCTACTTCATCTGTTCCTGAGTTTTGTGCGCCATGTTTGGTAGCTTTCAGGCACATTTTTCTATCTTAAAGCAAAACAAAATGAAGACCACATTTCCTTCCTATGTTGTTTTGAAACAACTGTGCATACTACTTGGCCCTGAGTCTCCTCTTTTATTCTATTCTTCTTTTATGAAGAAAATGAGGTGTTGTGAATCCCAGTACCTCAGGTACTCTGTAGTGACTATATCCAGGATCTTTCTTTCCATGATAAATGAAAGCTAATGTTTACTGAGGAAAGCAACAAAGCAGATTATAAAGTGCTGTCAGTATACAAACAGGATTTTTTCTTTTCTTCTATTTACTAAAAACTTGATCTTCATGTTTAGAAAAGGAGGTATGATTTGAAGAATGAAATGGACTTTTTTTTAAAGTCATATACCTTCTGTTCTTTAGTATTTGGGAAATACCTTGAGATGTGTAAGTGTAATATATTATTACCGTTATGATAATACCATATTTACTCAGATACTTGATGAGGTCTTCTCCCCATAGTTGGTACCTTTTATACTCACAAGGGATTCTCACTAAAATTCTCAGTAAGTTGTATATCATTAAACTGCTGGCAAAAGCAGCATGTGTTCAGCAGTAGAAACCAACTAAGAAGTTGATTAAATGCAGCCAACACTGAGCATAGAATTATAGAAAATTAGGTTTGGAAAGGACCTCAGGAGGTCATTTAGTCCAACCCCCTGCTCAAAGAAGGACCATCCCTAACTAGATCATTCCAGCCCGGGCTTTGCTGAGCTGAGCCTTAAAAACCTCAAAGGATGGAGATTCCACTTCTTTCTAGGTAACCTGTTCCAGTGCTTCACCACCCTCATAGTGAAAGAATTTTTCATAATATACAACCTAAACTTCCCTTGCTGCAACTTGAATCCATTGCTTCTTGTTCTGTCATCTGCCACCACTGAGAACACTTTTGCTCCATCCTCTTTGGAACCACCCTCCAGTTAATTAAAGGCTGCTATCAAATTCCCCTCAGTCTTCTCTTCAGAAGACTAAATAAGCCCAGTTCCCTTAGCCTGTCCTTGGAAGTTATGTGCCTCAGGCCCCTAACCATTTTCGTTGCCCTGCAACTTGTCCACATCCTTTCTGTAGTCGGGGGGGGGGGGGCAGAACTGGACACAGTATTCCAGATGTAGCCTCACCAGTGCAGAATAGAGGGGAATAATTTCCTCAATCTGCTGGCAAGAGTCCTACTAATGAAACCCAGTATGCTGTTAGCCTTCTTGGCAACACGGACACACTGCCGACTCGTATCCAGCTTATTGTCTGCTGTAAGCCTCGGGTCCTTTTCTACAGAGCTGCTGCTTAGCCAGTTGGTCACAGTCCTGTAGAGGTGCATGGGATTTTTCTGTCCTAAGTGTAGGATTTTGAGTCTAGATACTCTTTTGAGATACTACTTTCCCCAGCATGACTAGAAAACTAAATGCCTGTATTGGGCAAACGTGATAGTTTTGTTTTTTTCTTTTTAATACCATTTCATTTCCAGGGCCAAATCAGTTCTAAACTGAGTTCCAAATTTCAACTGAGCAGATCTCAGTTGTTCATGTCTGTGTAGCACTGCCATTTTCAAGTATACTAACTCCCAGACTAGGGGCAGGAAATTTATTTTGGGTGGAGGGCTGCTTCCCAAGTTTTGGCAAACCATTGAGGGCCGCAAGGGTAGCTCCACCCCTTGAGAGGTGCCCCGGCCCAGGTTGCCATCTTGGGACCAGAAGTCCCGCCCCCTAACCCCTGATCTTTGCCACCAGAAGCCCCTCCCCTGGCCCCCCAGAAGTACTGCTTTCAGCAAGGGGGCTTGCCATCTTGGAAACAGAAATACCAAATGATATTCTAAAAATCAAACATCTACTACAACAATAATTAATTAGATTTCAAGAAATATTTTTGTCTAGATTTACATGTATTTGTGTAGTGTGCATAGAGGTGATTGTATAATAGCTTAAAATGAAGTCTTACTCTTGTATATGGTGGGGGGTAGGTATAGGCTTGTGGGGGCTGTGGGTGTGTGGGGCAGGGATTTGTGGGGGGGTGGATAGGCATGGGGGTGTGGGTGTGTGTAAGTAGGGTGGAGGAGCATAAAGGTGTGTGTATGGATGTGTGGGGTGTGGGTGGGTATGGGGTTTTTGTAGGGCTCTGAGTGTGTGGGGGGAGGGTGGCTGGGGGAGGGTTGTGGGATGTGTGGAGGGGGAGGGTTTGCTTACAGGCCCTGTCCCCCCCCACAGCAGGCAGTGCCCCTGCCAGCACTCCTCCAAGCCTGGGCTCTGCCCTCCTGCTGCTCTTGACTCTGGGGCACCAGCGCAGGCCCATGCTGCCACTTGCAGCCACTTCCCCCTCCCGTCTGCCAC